AGGGTCTCTGAGGACCAGGGCCATGTTCACCACACCTGAACTCCATAAAGGCAGTGATTTCCCCACCTGGGGTCAACAGGGGGCTCATGCCCTCCTCCTAGATCTTTACAGTGCTGCTGCTGTCAAACATCTTACACTGTGTGGTGAAAAAAATCTCTGCTAATAAATCGCTGTGGAACATCTGTGGAAAACAGTTGGCAACTTTTCAGTCACCAGCAAAACAGGGAAAAATTATAAATCTGACATGGGTTTATTAGAGGAATAAGCATGCTTATGGATTGTATGTGTGAGTGACAGTTTGTTTTATTCTTACGTCTACATTCTAATGCTGTAATTTGAATCCAAACAAAAACGTCATTGAAGCTGAATCATCTGACTGTATATCTGTTATATTAGCTCATTCATGTTCTATAAATTTCAATGAAAAATATGCTGGTGTGTTTGTTGCTCTTTTTCTATGCAGAGGGCTTTTTTTCTATCAGCTTGTAAATACATATTACAGGTGCACAATACTGAGGAAAAAGATAAGAAAGATTTGCAACATTTTGTTAATTGTGTGATTAAGCTGATTGTGATAACCCCTGTTTTCCTCCTGACCGTCCCACTCTCTGAGCTTTATCAGGTGGGGCATAAAATACAGTGGAAGCCCATCTAAACATGTAATCGACCCGGTGTGTGTTAATAAGTACAGTTTGAATGCAATGCACCTAAAACATTATAAGCTACCAAATATTACATTAAAGCAGCGGTCTGAGATTCCAACATGGCAGACCCTAAAAATGTGATGGGGACTGGAATCTCAAAGTACTTGATAGCTCAAACACACACACACACACACACACACACACACAAGCGCACACACACACAAGCGCACACACGTTAAATCCACACACACATACTGAAAATATGTTGGGGGTTTTTACATTACTGATCATTTTTTCATCTGCAATACACTCCAGATGTGTTTCCTCTCTATAAAAATCAACAAACTCCCAGATAATTCAGATTTTTGCTCTGAAGGTGTTTATAGGGAATAAATGTTCCAACATTCACACAGAGAAAAAATAAATAATCCAAAATGGTCAGTCTGATCACATTTGGATAGTGTTTTGTTCCTCCTATCGTAGTTCTATTTTTTTATGTCTGTGTTCATGCTGTTCCACTGTACTGTTAAATTGTTCATAATTAATAATGAATTGCCTAAAATTATGATTAAGGCAAATTTCATCATCAGACACCTGCAGGACAATAAATATTTCAGATAAAAAGATGTGATGACCCAAACGACAGATTTTTGCAGGAACAGAAACATGGCTATAAATATATCAAAGATATGCCTTTTCAAAATTAATCTAAATTAATTGCCTTCAAACCATCCATCCATCATTTTATCCTTCTATCCATCCACCCATCCATAAAATACATGGGTGGATGTATTTTAGAAAAGAAAAGCCATGCTGACAAGAGAGAGCATCAGCCTGTCCAGGAATGCCTCAGCCTCACATTTCCAACCGGTCAAACCAGCTCTGTGCTCTTCTCAATCTAGTTTAAAGGTTTTTGTACCACTTAGAAACCCAGTATGTGTTTCTAGCATTTAGTAGCGTTAGCAGGATATTAATGTGTTCAGATTAATCTTTCATGAACTTGTATTCTACGTTGAATCAGTCCATTTAGACAACTGAGCTGAAGTAATTTCTACATCATTCACTAAGAAGTCAAACCTATTGACTAAAACCACAGAGACATAAACCTTCACATCTCAGAAGCCGAACACCAAATATTTAACAACACATTTTTGGAGTTTCAATTTTGATTTAAATTTGTTTTATTGTATAATTTAGACTTTATGGCATTTTCATATCAGCTTTCTGTTTGGACCTGATTTGCCAGGTTTTCGGTGCAGTGGCTTTTGAAGGCTTCCCCTCTCAGCCTTGCTGTTCTGTGTTGATGAACTCATTCCTTTCAAAACGAATCAATAAAAATGATTTTATTACAATCTGCAAGTTCCTTTTGTAAAGCCAGAATCAGTCTGGCTTTTTTCTTAAATTTCAAACAGAAGGACAGAATGAACATTGTGAAGGTGTGACATTAACCTGTCAGTAAACAAAGGCTGTTGATAAGATGAATTTTGGGTTATAAAGCATTAAGATGAAGATGTATGAGATGATTCTCTGCTGTTGGTCTAAAGAGGAGACGAATCTGCCCAGCATGACCAATGCTGATAATATTTGTAATATTTTAGGTGAGTGTCTTCATTTTAATAAATAAATAGAAAGATTCAAGCCTAAGAAGAATCACATGTAATATCATAAGCAATACATTTTGCTTTTTTGTTTTTTCTAGGAAACCATTTTATTATTTTATGTGGGGATTTATTATAATGTCTGCTGAAGAGGAATCAGTTACCTTCTGGAAAAACAGCAACAAATTTTTAAAATACAGTTCACCTACTTTCTGTTAAAATAAAATAACATTCTCCCCTTACTATTATGGAGGCTTATTTTTATTACTCAATATTACTATTTTATTATTTTATTCCTTATGCAGGACAAAGTTATTTTTTAGCAGTCGTGGAGGGAGACAGTGGAGGTAGGGTGAGGGGTCTCTGCACTGATCACGAATGGGTGAAAAAAAAAAATTAGGCCCAAACCAAGGCCTCCACAAACTGCAGATTTAACTCAGAACAATTATTCCCTCATATCGACCTGAAACCTTTAATAATACCTGAAGCTGAGTGGAGACCGGCAGGGCAGACCCACCTGTCACTGATCCACATGGAGACACAGGTGTTACCTCAGGTCGACCTCCGTCCTGGCGGTAGGCACTGGTGCTGTGACGTCACGGGGGGCCCAAGCAGGATGGATGGTTCAGTCCCAGTTCCACAGTCATCAGCCCTCTGTGATGTGGAGCTAATTCTGTTTAATGGTAAACCAAACACCAGGAGGGCAGGTTTAACACACACAAGCTAAAAAAAAAATGTTTAAATATCAAAAAAGAATAAAACTGTTAGAGATCAACATATAGAAACGGGTACATTTTTCCTTCATATTAAGGAATTTTTTTTCTCCTGTTTCTGTTTCTTTCTCTGTTTCTCTCGTTGTTTTACTCGTTTTATGAACTAGAGCTCTTTCACTTTCCTGCAGTGAACATTATTTAGCTGAGGAAGGATCCGTGAGATGAACGCCTCAGCCTCCAGAACGGAACCCGGGGCTCAAAGCGGCAGGTGTGAGCCGCATTACGGGCAGAAGACCGGCTCGGAGTCTGGTCGCTGCGGAGTGTGAGCGGAAGCCCACAGTGCAGAAATAAAACATTTACTTTGTTTTTTATCATCATAAATACAACCTTTATAATGATAACACGTAAAGGTCGATGGAATAATCATTGGTGACAGCTTCGTGGTTCTCCTTTGCAGCTTAAACACAAAATAACTGTTCAAAAGGAAGAAACGCGAGAGCCGCGACTCAGTCCACAACTCAGCGTGGTCTGTCCAGCAGACGGGAGGATGTCAGGTTGTGTCCCCGCGGGTTGTTCTGGGTCAGAGCAGACCCCACCGAACCTGGCCCGCTGCCACCAGCAGATTTTGATTCACTGGAGCAGACTGACGGAACATCTTCAGTGTGAGGAAGAGGAAGATGGGAACCACAGGAGGAAGGCCAGCGTGAGAGTTTGGAGGCAGGTCAAACTGACCAATGATTAGGCCGGATTCCTCTTTCTGTTTGTCATTCATTAAAACACTGAATTCACTTCATCGTTGACAGGCTGACAGTGGGAGAGTCGAGGGTTCAAACAACATCCCCCCAAACAAAAAGACGAGTCAAAACAGCTAAATAAAATAGCTAAAATAATAATAATAATAATAATAATAATAATAATAATAATAATAATAATAATAATAATAAAGTCCTTGCAGTTTTTTTGGAAAGTGCCTTGAGACGACTTGCATTGTGAATTATAATGATGATGATGATGATGATGATGATGATGATGATATTTATTATTATTATTATTATTATTATTATTATTATTATTGTTATTATTATTATTATTATTATTATTATTATTATTATTATTATTATTATTATTATTATTATTATTATTATTATATTTAACGCCCTGTTTAGAACGAAACCCATCAGTTCATATCTTCCAGTTAAAGCAAGAAAATAGATTTTGGGTTCTCAGAAAAACAAAATTTACAGATTGGTTTCTACATTTGGAAGATATAAAAAAAACTTGGGTAGAATCCAATGAATGAATACGATACTACCACTACTAGTAGTAGTCTACCTGACTGCACCATCTCGCTTTGATTTGATGTAATAACCATAATTGCCACAAAGCCCGTTGAATAGACAAAGAAGGGCCGCGCCACTTCTGCAGTGTAGGAAATATTTTGCACAAATATATTTAAAAGTTAGAGAAATGAAATAGATATTCAGCGTAATTAATTATTACAATTAATAATTTCGCACAGCATAAAAATCCAATTAATATGAGAGAATGTGTTGATTTTAATACACCAAACTGGGTGAAAAAAGTGCATTCCCAGGTATATTTAATTTAAAACATATATTTTATTTGAAAAATGTTACGGATCGTCCTATGGAGTGTGTCCTATAAACCCCGCGGAGCAGTTGAGTTTGAAGCCGACATAGAGCAGCCTGCTGCCCGCTGAGGAGCCTCGGTTTTCCGGTGTGGACTTCAGCTTGACCTCGCCCGTTTTCAGGCCCTGATCAGCGCCTCCAGAGGGTAGTGGACCCGCACCAAATAAAACCCAATTCACTCTGCTCGGAAAGAGTGATCACCATTTGGAAGCATTTTTTAAGAATAAAAAACTTTTTAAAATATCCTTTCTTTAGAATCGTTTAATCTCAAACATATTTAAAAGCCCCTGATAATAACATTAATATAAATAATAAACAGGCCGTGATAGGTTAAAATGGCGAGAAATGTATAAAACTCCAGCTTTGATTCAATGCATCGGTTGGAAACAAAGAGCCAACTTTAGAGTTTTTATTAAATAAAAGTGCTTTACATGAAGCTGCTGCAGGCCGCTTCCACAGCTTCACAGGGTTCACCAGTGTGTGTGCGTGTGAGCGTGTGTGTGTGTGTGTGTGTTAGCGACCTCAGGTGCAGCTGCGGTTTTATCTGACAGATCAAGAGGCGTTCAGGGACAGACAGAAAAAATACCTCTGCTGTCAGATCAAAACAAAAACGTGTTTACCGCTGATCTGGGAGAATCGTTTCTGTACAAAACAAATAAGAAAAAAAAACTACACATAACTTATTCACAGCAATAATTCAATAGCAATTTCTATTCATACAACTCACGCTTCTATTTACAGCTAAAGTCTTCTCTGTGAACCGGAAAGTGTGTATCCTCTTTCGCCTCGCAGAAAAACATTCACAAAGTGAACCGAATCCATGAGTTCAGAATCCAGATCCTCCTCGGAACAGGAAATAGAAGTGAATTAAGAGCTGTCGTTTTCAGATGTGTGCATCAGCAGCGCAGAGCCCGTTTTGTGTTTTTTCAGCAGCTGTGTAATCTTTTCATCGTCCGAGTTCGGGTCCAGAGGTTTGTTGTAGTCGTCGTCCTCCTCCTCGTTGTCCGACGTTCCTTTGAGTCGCTCCGTCTCCGAGTCCTGCTTCTTCTTCGCGGAGGCCATTTCCGCCGCGTGCTTCTTCCTCCACTTGGTCCTTCTGTTCTGGAACCACACCTGGCCGGACACACACACACACACACACACACACACACACACACACACACACGGTTCAGTTCTTCCATGTGTTTTATATCTCGTAATGTTAGCTCCGCCGCATAATCGGAATAATTGAGTGGAAAATATTACTATAAATTGCAGAAAATATTGAAGAGAGGACAGTTTCAGCTCCGTTAATGAATTCAGTCATTTTCTAAACCAAAGGAAAATAAAACCAGAAAATACCAACAACTAATTTAGGCAAAATCCAAAACATTTGACATAATTTACATCGATTCAATTTTGGTCATCTGAAAGTGTCAAAAACAATTATTTAGATTCTTCTCAGAGTAGAGAATAAACCCGAGAATGAGCCAGTGTGTGTGTGTGTGTGTGTGTGTGTGTGTGTGTGTGTGTGTGTGTGTGTGTGTGTGTGTGTGTGTGTGTGTGTGTGTTGGCTGCCCGCTCTCCGGCTCTCTTTCTGAGTTACCTTCACTTGGCTCTCCGTCATCCCCAGAGAGTAGGCCAGCCGCGCTCTCTCCGGCCCCGCCAGATATTTGGTTTGTTCAAAAGTCTTTTCCAGCGCAAAGATCTGCTGTCCAGAGAAAGTGGGCCGTGTGTGCTTCCTTTTCCCATCTTTGTCCAGTAACACTGAATTCTGATCTGCAACACAAACATGAAAACAATTTCGGAACTAATTATTTCATAGTTCTTAAGGAACACAAATCAGAAAATAATTCAGAACGAGTTATAAAATGCTGCAATATCACAACTTTCCGGTAAGTTAATTTTATACGTATATGTAAAGGAAAATTAAGTTGTGATATTGTAATATTATTTATTTTATATTCATGTATTTATGTATCACTTACGGGGTGAACAAGCGAACCTGGCGTCTCTCCAGTGCGGACTTTGCATAACTCCTGGCCAAAAGATCGGCGTCCTGCCCGGGAGGTCTGCCAGCGGCTTCGGGTACCGGGCCACCGCCACAGCCGCCGCGCTGGGGCTGAAGTAAAGTCCGGGAGGTGGCGGCGGGCTGAGGCTGCTGAACCTGGGCAGTCCTGACAGAATCCCAGCAGATGAAGAGGCGGCTGCTGCTGCGGCAGCTACCACCCCCGTGGTGCCAGCTGAGGAGACGACCGGCCGGTTGAGGATGTCGTTAATTCCGTGCGGAGTTGCAGAGGAGCACTGCTGCGGGGAGCCGAGGCCCGAGGACAGCCCGGTGGAACTCTTGATTCCGGGGGAAGACACGGCCATGCCGCCTGGGTTGGGAGATGTGGTGGCGGGAGAGGTGGAGGAGTTGGGGCAGGTGGAGGAGAGGGGGTAGGCCGGGTACAGGGGGGTCTTCATCTCGGTCATGCTGTGCAGAGCTGCCAGAGGTGGAGTGCTGAGGAGAAAGGCGCTCTGTCGGGACCCGTCCATCTGACCCACCGCTAGCATTACCGCCTCTGAGGGAGGCCCGGGAGGACTGGGGATGGGGCTGCGGGGGCTGCGGGGGCCAATCTCCAGAATCCAGACTTCAACTAAAACAGCTTCACTTTCTTTCTGGACTCAAAGCCCATCTCAGTCAGTGGGCAGATTCCAAATCCCAAATGCTCCAGGAAAGCAGGACGAAGTTCCGTTTGTGTTCGGGTCCGATTCAGATCCGGGAGCCGCTCTGGTCTGTCCGGCAGGTTGGAGGAGACCATCAAAAGTGATCATCAGCTCAGCATCTTCATCAGCTGCGAACCAAACTTTGAGAGGAGACGAAGAGCCGGAGGGTGGGGTGGGGAGTGCGCGTGTGTGAATGGAGCTGGGGGTCTTTGTTTGGATTGGGTGACCCGGCCGTGATGCAGTCCACTAAGATTCACAGCGGCTTCTGATTGGTTCAGCGATGCTCTGATTTAATGAGCAGAAATCAAAGAGGGAACAAGAACCGCGACACGAGAGCAGGAAAAAAAAAACTGAAGAGAAACATAATCACATTTGATGATAATGATTCAAAATATAAATAAGGTAAAAAGTATGTATTTCACCTGCAGATCGATGATTGCTGCAGGATGAGCAACAGGCTGCAATAAGGAGACTGAGAGAGTAAAGAGGAACAGACAGCAGCTGAATCTCTCTTACACCAGGAGTTACGCTTGTTTTTAGGTTTTTACACAATAAAATGAGCCACTAAGAGTATCCTGAAGCTGAAAGTTAATTATTAAACATAATTATTAAATGAAATATTCAAGTATTATTTTTATGTACTTTTATATTTATGATTTTTCAGCATCATCTGACTAGATGGGCCTTTAAGTGTCTCCCACAGGCTTCCGTAAGGTATCTATCTGTTCATGTTGACTTTTTAATCACATGCCGGTGACGAGCGGGGTTCCAGTTTAATTCCCGAGAATGATTCAGCCAGAGAAGGGGCGGAGACCAAAGCACTTATATTCCGATTGGGAGATGTTCACATGTGATCGGAACACGCACGCGCGCGCGCACACACACACACACACACACACACACTATCAAAGCGTCTCCCCAAAACTCTTCGGACAAATAAGTAAAATATTTCTGTAGATATCGCGTGCTCTAATAATAACTAAGAAAATAATTCCCTTTATTAAATTTTGTTTATTTCCACGGCGCCAGATAAAAACAAATGTGATCACAAAGCGCTTTACAAAAATAAAAACAGTTAATATTCAATCACATATATGTGCAAATTTTCAAATTCGTTCAGCTATTCTAATCTGATTTACCAAACAATTCTATTCTATTCTATTTATTTCTATATCGCCAATTCACAACAAATATGATCCCAAGATAAAGCAAAAAATAATAATTTCACTTCAATTAAAATTGATACGAATTATCAAACTGTACAGTATGCTCAATTAATTATTCAAAGTTTTTAAAAAAAGTTTCTATCTAAGGAAACCCTGCAGACTGCATCTACTGATTGACTTGCAGAATTCACTACTAGTGCTAATTAGTTCAGTTTTCGATTCAACTATAAAACACGTGTTCCATATCAATCCAGTTGTACAGCGCATGCTTTCATTTGGTTGAATGGCGTTTGGTAGGAGTTAAAGTCCAGCTGATTGCATCAAGTCACTTATTTTGCAACAGTTTGTCCTACTGAGAAAGCATGAGGGGGCAGAGGGAAGAAAGAATTCCTCTAAATTAGGAAGAGAGCTCCAGCAAAGCCAGGCCTGCTAAGAACCCTTAGCAGAAAGTTGGTGTGGAAAAAACTGCAGCAGCTCCAGCTTTTCTCACAACGCATCTTCCAGGTTACTAAAGAGTAAATGAGTCTACATTAAATCAGGTAAATATGTGACTTTTAAATCCTCAGACCAGACCTTTAATTTTTAACTTGAGGTGATAAAACAGAAATATTTTAATTTCAGTTTGAGATGGCATAAGCGCCAGTGTTTACATGTGTTCCTTGAATGTGCCTTTTTGGTCAGTGAGCTGCTTTGTTTTGCGGAGGGGCGTTAAGCTCTAAGAGTGAGACAAGCTGAGGTATTTATGTTGAGCGGAAAAGATAGAGAAAAGTTTGGTTTGCACTGATGATTCGGTTTAATTCTGCTCTCTCTCTCTCTCTCTCTCTCTCTCTCTCTCTCTCTTTCTATTTTTTACAAATTAAAAATTATCTTTCCTAACCTGTAAATATTTATTGGCATGTTCAATCAAATAGTCAAACAAAGTTTAGATAATGGCTATAGTATATTCAGAAAAAATATATATTTATTTATTAAATTGACCTATTTAATTTTTTACCTTTCATGCTTCTATCTTAATTGTGAATATTTAATTATTAGGTTTTGTTTGTGGTTCATTCTGTACAAATGAAAACAGATTCCTTAAATGTCAGATGTCATGACAAAATTAGTAAAAGATTCAGTTCTGCATAATTTATCAATCACCCTAATATCTTTGCACAATCAATACTACAAAGAATCATACAAAGAATCATAAGAATTGATCCAGTTTGTGGTTATCTCTGTTTGGAATATAAAAGTTTTACATAAAGGAACAGGCAGAAGATTAAAGGCTTTAAAATTCACCATATTCATAATTCATCATATTAATCTTTAAAATCCCAGCCAGTTTTTGGAGATTCTACTTATCAAATTAAACAAGTGTAAAGATGATGCTCAAGAACAGTTCACCATCGAATGATATTCATCACTGTGACCATCTTCTACCAGCTGTGCGTTAACAGAAAACATTATAGAAGAAACTATACGACTCAAAAATGATCACTAACCAGTAGAAAGCTTTCATTCCAGCAGTGGATGAGCCACAAGGTTCATGCTGCTTAATACTCAGAGAAATTAGAAAACTCTAGATCTCTGACTTCACCAGCCTCTGCACGTATTGCCCACATGTCAGAAAAGGTTTCAACACATTTGTCTCGTATTGACTGGATAGAAAGGATGTTCTGTGGTCCAATGAGAGATGTTTGTCCATGAAACAGAACAAAAGAGCTCACACTCCAGCCAGATCATCTGGGCATCGCCACTGCATTAGCCAGGAACTTTATGATTGATGGATTATTAGACAATGTGTACAGAAGGGATTGGAGCTCTCAGGATCTATAGCCACATGTTCATGTTAGAGTTTCCCTCCCTATGAATTGTGGGGGAAATACGTACATTTCCACTGACATCTGTTCCCTACACGCGTCTTTACTCAGGAAAAAACTTGCCTCAAACATTTCATTTCAGGCAGGACAGAAAGTTCCTTATTTTCACTGTGTATTGTATAAAAAATACTCCTAGTGTTTGTTTTTTTTTCTGGAAACCCAGTTAAACTCTTCTTTCTGGATGCAGATGAACCTGGTCAGCAGTCTGCGCAGGTAAAAATGGAAGAATTCAAGTTTTAGTAGCAATGAACCATCTAGTGAAAACAGGGCATCTCTTCTTTCAAACACCGGAAATGTGACGATCCACTAGAGCCCCCGTGTGGATACCACCTGTAACAGCAGATACTTTTCTATGAAAATCTAGTATTTCTAAATTAAATCAAAGAACTATTACGAAAAATCTGAAATCAGTCTTGATATCTGTCTAGGATTTTAAAACAGATCTTCAGTTTTTAGTCGGACTGTAATCTGATTATTATTATTTATTATACTTACTTAAAAATGAATACATGTTTATCAGGGGTAAATTGAGCCACCCCTTGTGGCTAGGAAATGGTTAAAGACTGATAACGTGACACAAAAAAAAGCAATTGTGCTGGTTAGAAGGCATCATTAAATGACGTTTGAAAAGGTAAGATGATTTGACTTTTCTTTAAATATGTTTTTCATTCTTGAAAGTTAACTTTTTTAGACCACAATAATTATTTTAAATTTGTTCTATGTATGACCTGTACGATGGATGGATGGATGGATGGATGGATATAAGTGCTGAACAAATAGGGGAGCCAAGAGTGAAGTTAGTGAAGGGAAGTATGTTTGAGCAGCACCAAACGATGCAAAAATACAGAATGACACAGTTGAGATATAGAGACAAAAAGTAAAGTACTTTTGAGAAAGATGGGTTCAGATGGAGAACAGAGGCTACAAGGAATTTCTTAGTTGCCACGGAATCTCAATTTGCCAATTTGCCTGGAACAAGGATTCAGTTTTACCATTTCTTTCCAAATGTTAACGTTTGCTTCCCAAGGCCACTAAAAAGCATCCTGCAGGGCATTTTTAGTCAAATGCCTGTTTAGTAGAACTCTACAACAAAAAGTTGTTGTACCCATGAATTTTGTATAACAAATAGAGTGTGTTTGACAAAAAAGTGACATCTAGAGAAGGTGGTCAGTGAGGGGTGGGACTGAGTTGGGGAGAGGATGATGTGTTTTTAAATATGCGACTCAACTTGGCCCATTTTGGGGTAAGTTGAGCAATGAGGGTTTTTTTTTTCCTTTTAACACTCATTCTGATTGTACGGATGCACAACATCCTAAAATATAAGCAGATATGTCAGCAGTTTGTACAGTCCAATAAAACAGACTGGAAGCAAAGTTTCCCTGATATCTCAGTCAATTCAATTGGTAAACTAAGCTGTACAGTTTGGGAAGAGGTAATATTTTAACCATCTGCTGCATGTTTACAGCAGCTGATCAAACAGAAAGCATTCATGTGACTAAAGCCACTTCTAAACAGAATACCTCAGCTTAGGCTCTGCAGGTAATCTCTCTGAATTAACAGCCTTTATGGGACAAACTTCAGGTATTCAGTAGATAAAGAAGAATAAAGATCCAGAGTCTGGACTGATGTTACAAGACAGTTTTTATTAGACTTTACTCGCGTGCCATCAGCTTCTGCTTCTTCAGCTTCTTCTGTGAAACCTGCAGACAGACACTCTGTTAATACCGATTCTGTGATGACAGGAATGACAACTGGAATGACAACTTTGCTGCTTAGTTGCTCAGAATGTAACCATTTATTTTCATGGAGAATCCAAAGGTGTCCTAAGTAGTCATCATGGCAACTATCAAAGAGTGCCTCAGTGAATGGATGTGTTCAGTCATACAGCTGGTTCAGTCTGAAGCCCTTTCTCCATTGTCTAGTCTCCCTCTAGCCGGGTTTGGTCTGCTTTGGTTCAGGTCTGATTGGCTGCATTTCTCAGAATGTGGACCCTGCTCTGGTGGGGTCACTCTGTCCCCTTGGGCAGCCAGCTTCTCTGAAATCTCTGGGTACATTTTGTCTGTTGCCCTGTCCAGTTGATGCTATAATTGATAAAAAGGTTTGAACTTAAAGATTTGACCATGGAATTATTGACTTGCAGCTCAAAATCTACTGCAGTCTCACTGTGCCTCCCACAGGCCAATCAAGTGGCATGCCTAGTTACCTGGTTAGTACCACCTCTACAGTGGTACAGAAAACAGGAAGGAACTGAAGGATCTGGTAATGACATGGGTGCAGCTGAGGCATTCTGGGTAAGAGGCATTCTGGGTAAGACCTG